AATGTTAGTTGGAATCGGGTCGAGTACACAGCAAGTCGGTTTAGACTTCCTAAGAAGTTTTAGTGTTTCTGGGACTGTGAAAGGGGGGAAAACATTCAAAACAGGTTTGTCATCAAAAGTATCATCACGTCCTAAAAACGGCGTCAGTGTTTCGCTGTCATGGAGTGTGCTTCTAATATTTTTGATTTTTTCCTGAAAGTACATTGCAAATGAATGAGCAATTTCTTTGGTGGTACCAATATCAGGTAAGGGATTATCCGCGGACTTCCCCATCAAGTTAAACATCAGCTTGTACAAGGCGTTAGAGTTAGATTTGCTGTCACTGATTTTAGAGTTCATGAAATTCTGTTTAGCTTGTTTGATGATAATGCTGACCTTATTTCTGGCTGCACAGTAAATCTGACGGTGTACTTCCAGACATGACTTCCTCCATCTCCTCTCAGCTACCCGTCTCTCTGACTTGGTTTTCTTGACATCTGGACTGTAAAGCCAGGTAGCTTCAGGTCTGTGGGGGATTCGCCTGACCTTCTCTGGGGCATGTTTGTCCAGGAGCTCTAGAAGTCCTGTGTTGTACATGTCTACATATGCTTCACAGGTTGAAGGAGGATCGGTCAACAAAGGTGACGTCAACAGGTCTGAACGAAAAGCAGCAGTATCCATGTTTTTTATGTTTCTACACCTAATATATCTGACTGGATGCGATGGTCTTGTGATATCAATGTTCAGGGTTACTAAGTAGTGATCTGAGATCTGATAGTCGGTTACTCTGGAATCAGTTATGATGGGGTCAGTCTCTCTTTTTATAACCCAGTCCAAAATGTGGCCTGATTTATGAGTTGGCAAGCCTATGATTTGATGACAGTTGTGAGCTTCTAGCAGGCTGAGCATCTGTAATGTATTACTTTTGGTTGCTACATCAAAGTGAATGTTAAAATCACCCATGATTATAGGTTGTTTTCTGTCGACACAAATTTGATGCAAAAGAATAGAAAACTCCTGATAGAAAACTGAGAATGACAACTGGTTTTTCTTTGACGGGGGTGGACGATAGAGAGATACAATGTCAGTGGCAGTTTTGCCATGAGTCACCTGAAACTGCATTGACTCAAAGGAATTAAACTGATCCACATGGCAGAATTTCACATGAAGATTATCTCTGTAGATAACCGCTAAACCGCCTCTACGCGTCTGTCTTGGTTGGTGTCTTGACTTGTATCTAGGGGGCGTCATACTGGCAAGTTTGGACTCATCACCCTGAGCTCTTAACCATGTTTCTGTTACGACCATGATGTCGATGTCACGATCCATAATGGTGTCCATGATGATGTCACTTGTGTTACAAGCTGATTGAACATTCCAGAGACATAGCTTCAAAGTAGGTGGTAATCTACGGGGCTGTATGTAGATGAGATTGTCATAATTGATTGATGAAGCAATCTGATTGGAGTTATGGTTGAGTGGCCTGTGTCCAATGAGAACACTGATAGGTGTTGACATATAGCTTATTCGTCAACAAACATAAATGGACAGTTCGTCACTATTATAATGTAAAATCCCAAAAAACATGACGTCATAGACTGATATGGAAATTTCAAGCTAACAATTCGACTTTCGTAGTTGAGTTGATTCTTCTATCATGTGTATTAATGTGTTCCTTAAATCAACAATTTACAGCGAAGCACATTGAGATTCATACGCTCTCTAGGCGAATCAAGTAGTTTCTAAATCAATGACAGAATGTACAATTATCATTGTACACTATATGTATTGTTGGGCTAATATCTAAGCCTATGATACCCAATCTACATACCTATCTTCACATAGCTGATTACAGGAATATAAGATACAAACCAACTCTAGGATATTCATGAAATCTGCCATTCTTCTTTCGTCCTCGATCACTGTTGAGAACAGAGCAAGTGGAAATGTTATCTGAGCATCTTTTGAAGCTGTGCCACCTGACCTACATTCTAAATATAAAGTCAGTTATCTTAACTTAAATGAAGTCAAAAAAGAAAATATATTTATGTAAAATATAGCATACACGACAACACGCACACGTCCCTGTAAAGAGAAGATTTACTCATTTTCGTAATTCCAGTTCCATGTGGTGCTGTGTGTGGAACTGGGACAGTGTTACTGTGTGACTTTCTGAGCGAATTGTGTCTGACAGCTACAAGCAGTATTGCATTAGTTATGTTTAGTTTCGTTGTGCCAACCTCACTTAGGAAGAGGTGATGTTTATCTCAGTCCGTTTATGCCTTGGTGAACCAACTAGCACGGATATACTGCTGACCAACAAAGACTCACACCGAGTTCAAGAATTAAAGCTACATCTTACGATACTGGCACTTCTGAAGGACGAATTTGAGTGAGTGAATCGTTTCCTTCAGCACTAGCATTGGTAGTTATGGGAGATAAGCAAATCAAGTTCATACACCTTGCCAATGGGCGGTGAATCACAAAAATGTACACGAGGTTTAGCAAGGGAACGAACGGGCTAGGTATAGTTGAAGACATGCATCGGCACCATCAGAGGATGGGCCAGGAACAGTTTGCAAATGTCACGGTGATAACCTTTTACCATTCAGTCCATGTGCTGATCATTTCACAATAGATAAGGTATATTGTAAATTGGTCATTGCTTCAAAAACGAGCTGGAAATATAGTACCGTATGATTGCATTGAACTAATACTTGTACATAATATACGTCAACTTGTATGTATACCTGAAAAAAAAGCGAAATAAAAAAAAAGAAAAAGAAAAGAAACTGTCTAAAGCTTCCACCAGCAGCAATCTATGCGCTCACAGTCTGGATTCTATATGGTTTTTATTACTTTGGTGCATCCCACGGATATGTGTATCATGATGACAACCAAATGTTCAAAAACAAGTCGAACAAGCAATCGTTAGAAGCTAGGTAAGGAACAGGTTACAAAATCGTAGGTTGGAAATACTTTAGACTCTATTTAAATTGTACAATTTCGATGTGTAAACATGCTTCTGGATTTCTTAGCATTGTATCGTGCTCTTTGGGTAGAACCACCATGATGGTGGTGAACATCTGAATCCTGCATCCTGTCTCATCAAACTAACACTCTGTGATGTCGCTGAAAGTCTGTTCAAATTGGTGTTTAAGCAACGTCAACCATTGACTCAATGTAGGGAGCAGTGGTGTCCCTTTGACCTAAGGACCTGTAATTGTAAATCTTAATTAATCCTAACTTAACCGATAAGCTTTAGAAATAACTATGATGAAAGGCATGTGAGTCCCATTTAAACCACCAAAAGAACACACAAGGAGTCAAAAATATTCAAGTGTATTTTGAATAACAAAATCCTAAGGCTACGATGAATGACAGTACAGATTTCTTATAAAATACGATTGGGACACAAATCTAAAACATTAACGAAATGTCTGTAGTCAACAAGCCTTGATCCTTGTAGATATACTTATTGAAATTGGTTGACAGCTGTTGAAAGTTCAATGTAGGCCTCTTGAGTGGTCGGTCTTGAAACGTCAATGTTGGCAGACAGATGAGCGTAAATCTAAAGTCGTCCTCCGTCATGCATCTCAGCAACCATCTCTTATATACCTATTATACACTTCTAGAGTTGGTCTGACAAAAGGTATGCCACACCACCATCTTCTCAGAGGTTCATAGAATCCCACCAAAGACACCAGAAGCAAAAAAACAAACGAGGGTAACTTCTCAGCTTACTCTTAACAGGTGAAAATACATAGCCTAAGTTCAATACAAGGTGTGAGTTCAAATCTACATCCAACGCTCTAAACTTTTGGGACCCATTATAACTAAAAGTTAATTAATGTGACAAAATAAATTTCCAATCATTCAACCAAACCATATTGCCTCGTTGACATCGAATTTTTAAAACGCGATATTGTTTGTGTTTTTAAGTTATGACTAAATTTAACAACAATCACCAGCGGCTGAAGGGATGGTATAAATCCGTCTTTGCCTTATGAGTGAGTGAATGAGTTAATATTTATCGTTACATCGGTAATATTTCAGCCAAAGCGTGTCGAGAATAATTTATTATCAGTAAAGATAAAAAATATTAGAAGCCATAAAACTGTTAACGATGAACAGTAAAACTACTTGTGTATCACAGATAGAGAAATAAAACCAGCATGGAACTAAAACTGCTATAATGCAAGACAATACAATATAAAAACGGGCTATAGATCACCAGCACCTGAAAGTATATCACCATACTAGAGACCATGTGGACTTATAGTACTTTGGCTACCTGCATGGACCCTTCCAAATTGCCAGCGATGATCCCCCAATCTCTACACATCAAACAAGTATGGTATGCTATGCCAATCCTCTTATTTTCATGGTCATTAAATGGCAGTATAACACCTCTGCGATTCTGTCATCACAAAAAACATTGATGGCAAACATGAAAATACTCCTCCTTGGCACATCAAACGCACTCAGTTATTGTGAGCCTTTCTTCTAGTCGGCATTTTTATGTGTTTCTCATTTTCAAATTCAAACCGCAAGACAACAGTTGGACGGAATGAATATATATAATTCAAATAATTTCTTTAATTGTGCAACTTGTTGATTGAATATTTAAATTACAATCCACAAATTTGATATATGTTGCAGATCCAGCTGCTTGCTTTAAATAAATGTATATGATGAAATCTCAAACTGACCTGGAGACTTAATGAAAGTGCAATAGTACGAGCATTTGTTTTATTTAATTCGAGGATAGCCTTCCACAACTGCGGGGACAAATGATGTAAGAAACGTTTTCATATTTCAGGGCAGACGCGTAAAGTTACGGACAGACTCAAGCAAGTCTAAAGAGAGTGAACAGTTAAAACATATAATGCCAACTTAAATGGTAAAGCATTAGTTCACATGAACGTACGTGTATAGATCGTGATAGTATCAGCAATTTGTTAAAACAGTTGTTGAGCTTACACCTTCTCGTGCTTTGAAATTGTAAAACCTCAGACAACTAGTGAGTGATATTTTTATTAAAGAACAAGATCTTTTTCAAATCCGTTCCACGAACAATAAACGTTCATGGTTAGCATTACAGACATTAACCAATTATGTTTGGACTTCTGTGACACTGCTGTTGACACTTGTCGGAGAAGTCCATCTGGTCACAGAATGTCACGTGACAAGTGACGTAGATGCCGTCCTGTTCATTAGGGATGTCAAACATGTCAAACTTAAACCTGGTCACGGAGTTTCGCGTCACGAGGATCTGAGTATGACCATCCACAGCACACCTGGAAATAATATCAGACATTTTCCAAGCCCTATTTAACAACAGCTATTTTAAATCAATCCAATCTATCAGACTTTGTGATTCTCGTTTTCGTGTTTATATATTATATTTCACACTGATCTTGTCTTCGGAAGGCCTTAACAAGCATGATGAATGTTACGAGATTAAGTTACCAAGTGTAGAAACATAGTTTACTTTACACAAGTGAAGAAGAACACATAACAAAATCCTTTCCTTAAGATTCTATGTCATCTCACTCACCCATCTGCAATGAGAGGATAAGACGCTTGTTTCCCCGGAACACTGTCAAGGTGGGCGTCACATGATCGTAACACCATTATTGTATTGGAAGTCCCTGGCGAGGCAACTTGAACATACACAGGTGCTCCAACCTCAGCCTGAATCAGATTGCCGTTTGAAAGGTGCATAAATGATGCGTCTTGGTATAAGGATATATGGACGCTGGAACCTTGCACCTGTCCCGATATTGAGCCATGTACGGTTGTGTTGGAAGGATGGGTAAATGTGAACGGAGTCCGTGCCATCCACTGGTTCGGAGCAGTTGATATCTTGAATCCAGATGACATCTCGAACCATATGATCAGTCGCTGGTTGTACATACATCACCGCGTTCATATAGGTAACCATGCCTTTGGATACCTGAATAATATAGATTTATGAGATACATGAACAACCGTACGATTGTCGAAACGTAACACACATTTACGATCATTGTAGCCTTACAACTGCTTCATGAAACGGGGCGAAGAAATAGAACACAAAATGTACTGTCCACCACAGGTGTTGTCTCATGGCCAATTTTCGAAGGCATCACTCCATCACAGACATTCTGATATATATGTTGCAATAGCTGTGTAATGTTTAACGTGAAGGTTGCAAATAACCTTTCCAATATTTGCGACATCAGACTAACATCAATAACAAGCCTCCAACGTGAAAGTCTCACTGGAAAGACAAGTGCATTTGATCTTCTTGGCTTTTCCCGCTTTCCTGGGTGATTTGATGTGCCCAGATTTAAGAGCACTCACCCAAGCACGTGGATCATTTAAGTTACATGACGGAAGTATTTAAAGTCATATTCGAAAAAAAAATTGAAGTCGAGTTGGATCGATGATTTACAACTCAAAATACATGCGGACCACTTGTAATATAATACGTCAAATTGCCTGTATCTGTTTAAATGTCCTATGAGAATTATACCTTTTTTTTCGTCTGTTTCAATTGTAGATGTGCTACATGTGCAGCACGCATGTTTCAAAGTGACAACTCATTGCAACCTCAACTGGCACGAGGAAAAACGTTCTTGTCTGTCTTTGACACCCAGTGACGAACAGGTAAGGGGCACGTGTTGGTTTGTAAGGGCGTCACGATAAAGGTACTGAAGATTGCTACAAGGCACCGGTCGATCCCTTCACCTACAACTGGGGCAAGGTTTGTCCTGTTGTCTAAAGTACAGCATCCATCCTTAGCCATGCCAACAATATGAGTTCGAATTCCGATACGCCGTATTTGTGTGTCGGTGCCATACTCGCTGGTTTCACCAAAATGTTCAACGACTGAGACCTGTTTTACTTCGGGATTTCCTCCTATAAAAAAACGGACACGCCACAATGTCGCTAGTGTACTGTTACAAGTGGGGTTAATCCGTGTCATTTACACACCATGCCCAGAACTTCATCTGACGGATCAATGTGGTTTAGAAACATTCCCTTTCGCATCCACTTCAGCAAATAGATATAGCTATAATACAATGACTGCAAATGAAATGTTAGGTGCAGAATCACGATGTTCTTGTTACTTGAATGGTGAGGTGAGGTGAGGTGAAATTGGGTTTAACGTCGTGCTTGAGAATATTTCGCTCATATGACGACGTGCATGCGGGTGTATGTGCGGCTGCTTGTACTAGCCCAGACTGAAGCTGGTTTAATAGTGCTAGCCCACTAAGATACCATGCCGCAGTGAAGCATGAATACCCCACTCAGACACATTATACTGACTCCGAGCCGACCAGTCCTTGTTGTACCCATTAATGCCGAGCGCCAGGCAGGGACCAACAAGTACCATATTTTAACGTCCTTTTGGTATGACGCGGCCGGGGATCGAACCCGCGACCTTCCGCTCTCCGGGCGGACGCTCTAACCACTACACCACGGGGGCGGTACTTGCTTGAATGGTAGTGCAATATCCCTTTTTTTAAACAGAAGCCCCATCATTTCAGTAATTTCATTACGCATTACTGCGTTTAGGTGTAGTAATAAAAATGTATTTTGATACATACACTTGATTGTGTGTGGCAGTCGTTGTACGACATGTTGAATATGAGATGCCGTCCCTGTATCGTTCCAACACACATGTCCATGGTCATGTAGATGTGGGGGAGGAGACTGATGTCGAAGTTTGAGTCCATGAAGTCCACTGTAACGAACCACCCTCCTGGTAGGCATTTGAGGGTGACAGCACCAAACACTGAAACAAGTGTTCTCCAGAATAACCGGCTCATGCGTTACTCCCAGCTATTATGGTATCACAAGGTATGAGCTCATAGATTGCAAACTATGATTGCATCGAACCGTTTACATTAAACCTTTGTCAAAGACATGCATCGAAATGTAAGATATACTATGTGTTTATTGATTGAAAAGTTAAATATCTTATGACCATGATTTGTATGGTAAATTAAAACTAACAATCAGCTCCTACAGTCTTTTCATGCAATCTATTTCCTATTTTCTTGACAAATAGTCAGCGCTGGATTGGCTGATATTGATCCATATCTTTATTTTCAGATCCGTGTGTGGTATTTGGAATTAATGACAACAGTCCAAATTCAACGATACAACATATTATACTACAAAATAAAGTACAAATGATGGATAGAATTTCACTACAGATACATGCATCGACGTTGGCGGAGCATTTTCAACGTCATACACTGAGAAGGGATAAATGCTGAAAACTTCCGACTTGATATAAAAAGTGGTGTTTCCCCAACATCATTTGTGTTGAATGCAATCACACTAAGACATATTTAAATAAACTATGTGTATAGTGACTTACATGATTCTGCCAGTGACGGAAGACGGTATCCTGCATTGTAGCTGTATGATTCCCGGGCAAATGCTTCGTGAAGCCTGACTAGAATTGGCGATGAACTGTTGACAACATATGGCCTTTGGGGTTGTATCTGCAGTGCCCCGACAGTGTAAGGTGCCGTTGAGAGGTTAGTCCACTGGATGTCATCCCGATGTTGACCATTTACACGAACATCCATGAATGATGACACCTCAGATACAATAGTAATCATTGGACCCTCCTTGTTCACCCCGTCCAAATCTAAACTCTTTACAATGTAGTTGTTGTCATAAAGAACCGTTCCTGGTACAAACAACGATGTGCCTCCATCACGTTTAAAGTAAATAAGCTCGGTACACATTACAGGTCGAGTGCTTTGTATGATGAAGTTGGCGCTGGATAGAGAACAGTATTGTTTGAACTCGGCGGTATTCAGTGATGTAGACCATGCCACTACATTTCCATTTACTTCTTCCTTCGTTATATTCACGACTGTATTGTCATACTTTGCCAATATACGAAACACCATTGCCCCAAGGTCAATCGCCTCCACTTTGGGAATAATTTGAGTATTTGAAAAAGCGCTCTCTGGGGGAACTTGACTAACCATGTGACCCCCATAAGAGTTTCTATAACAGCTAGGCATGTAGCTATACAGAGCACCTGAAAACACTGCGACTTGATGATTAGAAAGGATTTGGGTTCCCCCTAAGTCACACTTATCAGAGCTCGAAAATGAAGCTAAACCTATCTGAAAGACGTCACCATAGCCCAGTGTGACATTAACAATGTCTCCATCTGTGTATCGGACACTGTTAAACACATATTCACATGTTGCATTAAGAGTTACGGAAACCTTAGTGTTATCTTGGGTGGCCACAACGCCAAGATTTGCAGTTTTTTCGACACTTGCAACGACATAATTCGTTGACAACGTATCATCAGGAAGAACTGTGAATGAGTCTGATGTTTCCACACCGCTCCTGTACTTATTGTGTCCATAAAGAGCTATTGCTGTTGTACAGTTCACATAAATAGCCTTTGGTTCTATTCTTGTTCCAGCTGGTAGTTGTGTGGCGTCAGATAAAGCCAGTTTAACTACATCGTTGGCGACAACATTCACCCTGGTCTGACGTCTTGTGCCGTCGTTGTAGTCCACAGTACAAACACCACGAAGGGGGGATGAGAAGTACAGAATGTTTCGAAGGTCATTTGTTGGATCGTCAGTGTATTCCGGAAAGAAAGCGAGAGAAAATTCCCTTCCTTTTGTATCTTTGAGAGCTGTAATGCAATACAAATGAACCTGGAGTCTTCGTAGAATAAAACGTCATTCGTTAGCGTCAATATTTTAGACATCTCTATTCTATTTCATCGAATATATCGCTTATGTGAAATTCTTTTGACGATAAATACACCATGCGTGCCCTCGCAGAACCTGGGTACATAGATGTAGGTGTAACTGCATAAATTAACTGCACGTCATATTTTTGTATCTGAATACATGGCAAGCTCTGAAGGAGTGGCACTTACATGTAGCTTCTTCGTCAACAAGCATGCGTGGACAGCACGTCACTATTATGATGTCACATCCCCAAACATGACGTCATAGTCGGATATAGAAATTTAAAGCTGTTTATTGTCGCTAGCAATTCGACGCTTGTATCGCATGTTCTTGATTAATGCGTTCCTTAAATCAACAATTTACAACGAAGGGTACTGAGATTCAGACACTCTCTTAGCGAATAAGATTCAAGTAGTTTCAATGATAATATTGAACAAACTTAATGGATCGCAACGTTGCTATTTCGTGAGTGTGGCGTTTCCATACAGATTCTTGTACCGTTGTCAAGCAGGAATGTACCGTTGTCACTGACACCGCTTGACAACGGTACAACAGTCTGTATGGAAACGTCGCACTTACACAATAAAGAAGTTGTCATCCATAAAGTGTGTTCAATATTGTACGTCCCAACTTCTAAAATGACTCAAAAATGTTTCAAAGATAGAAAGTGCATTATATATTGTATATTTGTATATTGTACAATATATGTAGTGTTGGTCCAATATCTAAAAACTGTGGTACCGTAACTACACACCTACCTTCACATAGCAGATTACAGGAACATAAAATGCAAACCAACTTTAGGATATTCATCAAAGCAGCCATCTTTCGTCCTCGATCACTGTTGAGAACAAAGTAAGTGGAAATTTATCTTAGATCCTTTTTAAGCTGGACTACTTGACCTACATTCTAAATATACAATTAGTTATCTTAGATTAAATGAAGTTAAAAATAAATATATTCATTTACAATACAGCATAAACGAAAACACACAAATCATTGTAAAGAGGAGATTTACGGATTTACATGTGTATTTCTAGTTCTGTCTGGTGCTGACTGTGGAACTGAGACAGTGTTACTGTGTAGCAGGACGTTCTGAGCGAATTGTGCCTGACCGATGCAAGCAATAGTACATTAGTTATGTTTAGTTTCGTTGTGTCAAGTTGCCTTGGGTATATGGGATGTTTATCTCAGTCCGTTTACCCCTTGTGAACCAAATAGCAGGGATATAACGCTGACCAAAAAGAGTCACGGTCAATCCGAATTAGTGATTCAAAGCCACAATCATACCATATTAGCATTTCTGAAGGACGTAATGTCGCACAACGAATCTCGGCGGCTCAGTCGTTTCCTTTAGCACTAGCATTGGTAGTTAAGGGAGATAAGCAAATTATGTTCATACACCTTGCCATTGGGAGGTGAATCAGATAAATGTACACGAGATTTCAAGTGAGCGAACGGGCAAGGTATCGTTGAAGACTTGAGTCGCCATTTTACAACGAGCCATCATCAGAGTGGGTGAGTTTAGTTTTACGCTATACTCAGCAATATTCCAGCGGCGGTCTGTAAATAATCGAGTCTGGGCCAGACAATCCAGTGATCAACAGCATGAGCATCGACCTGCGCAATTGGAAGCCGATGACATGTGTCAACCCAGCCAGCGTGCCTGACCACCCGATCCCGTTAGTCGCCTCTTAGTCATCATCAGAAGATGGGCCAGAAACAGCTTGCAAATGTCATGGTGATACCCTTTCACCACTCAGTCTATATGCTGCTCATTTAAGAAAAGATAAGCTATATCTTCGTCGTAAATATGTAAATCGCTTCGAGAATGAATTCAAAGTATATTTGTACTGTATAATATTATTACATTGTCTTTACAATGAATTACAAGTCCACCCTTGTATCGTGCGCAAAGAGTTCTTTTGTTGAAGTAGTAGAAAAAGAAGTAAAAGTTACTGAATAAAGACAATTGGACAAGGCGTTATCTATGAGTGTAGGGTTTTTCTGATGTCTGACATGACATGCTCCTACAACTAGAAAATATCTAAAGTTTCCCCCAGCAGCCATCAATGCGGTCACAGTCTGGACTCTATAAGATTTTTATCACTTTGGTAAACCTCATGGATATTATATTGTGATGACAGCCAAACTTTCAAAACTAGTCGAAACAAGCAATCATCAGACTGACTGACTGAGTTTGGTTTTACGCCGCTTTTAACAATATTCCAGCAATATCACGGCGGGGGACACCAGAAATGGGCTTCACACATTGTACCCATGTGGGGATTCGAACCCAGGTTTTCGGCGTGACGAGCCAACGCTTTAACCACTAGGCTACCCCACCGCCCCAGCAATCATCAGAAGCTTGGTCAGGAACAGATTACAAATGCCATGGTGATAAGCTTTCACCACTCTGTGCATGCGCAGTGGATTTCACAAAGATAAGACATATGTTCGTTCTAAATTGGTCGTAGGTTGGAAACACTTTAAGAATCTATTTAAATTGTATAATTTCAATGTCTGATTTTGATTTTAATTATAAATGCATATCCTCATGTTGAAGTAGTAGAAGAAGTGGCATAAAGTGGCTCAATAAGGCGTGATTTGTAAGTGCAGGATATTTCTGATGTCTGACATACATGCTGGAAAAAGTAACTGTCTACAGCTTCCCCAGCAGCCATATGTACTGTAAAATGCTGGGCTGTGTAAGACGTTTAGTATTTTGATATACTGTGAAGAAGAAATAATGTTCACAATCAAGTCGAATTTGGAGTCAACATTAAGATCACTGCATTTGCTAGGGAATCTTTGTGCAGCAAGTTATTTTGCCTCAGGCGGCTGAACCATCCCGAGCCCCAAATTACAATATCATCTGAATGTCATTATAGGATATCACTTTTACAAAACTCTCCTTCGAGTCAAGTAACTTCATAGCGGTTTGCATTCTTTGTTATAGCTCTCCAAGGGCGATCATTCATTTGCTTTCTTACGTGCTTCGATTTGATATGCTTTGGACCATGATTTCGACACTCGAGCATACAAAGGTATTTAATTATCATATTACACATGTTCAGTAATATCAGCTATATATTCCATGTGCTAGACATTTCATTTTCTAACTGTTAAAGTGTATTTTTCATGTTAGAAGTGTAGGCCTCGCATTCGAAGGTAACATTAACTGTTGTTACTAAATTCAGATTTTTGGAGGGATTGTTTTGCAGTCAATCTACTAGAATCTATTGTTCGTGAATGTGGGAGAACATCCTATACCATGCAGACTGTGACCTATGTCAATGGAAACGTGTGTGCAGCAATGACAATTGGGTGTATTATTATAATTTCCTATCCACTATTCAGTCTGCAGTCATGTACCTTGAAAGCTGCCTATTACGTAAAACAACATTCACCCAGTTTCTCACCATGACCTAAAGAGAATGGACAGGTCATCTGCATGATGCAACATACAACAGAAACAGGTTGAGCATAAATGTAAAATAATCAATAGATAATAGGTGATCATGAAATCAAACATTACCAAGATTCATTTCCTTCGTGGTTCTTTGCGTGTATGAATTTTATATATATATATATGTGTTGAAAGCATCATATTTCCAATGCTGACCAATTAGGGAAACTAGTCTAATCAAGCTTCATTACTATTTAATGATACGGTGCAAACCTATTGTTCCTGCTCAATGCGACTCAGCACTGTGACCAGATATAATTGCACTGTGGGTAAGTCCTATCTCAAAAATCGCCAGGATATTCAGTTGCTGAAGTTACACGGCTTGTAATGGATCGCCATACCTGTGAATAATCTAAGAAATATAATACCGCGTAAAATGGAACAATAACGAACTACACTGAGGGATAAGATTTCACATCTTTTACATCAAAACACCTAAAGATGAATTAACGTTAAAGAAACATATAGTTTCGTTGATGTACATATTATCAAGATTATATATTTACGAAAATTGTGCATTTTGTTTGTCACATGAAATTCACGCCTCTGAATACTTCCGTAAACTACCGAAGATTACAAATTATTTGAAGATAAGGGAAACCAAATGTATGTAGAAACTCCTGCACAGATATATCAACCAATTATGTTTGGACTTTTGTGACACTGCTGTTGACACTTGTTGGAGAAGTCCATTTGGTCACAGAATGTCACGTGACAAGTGACGTAGATGCCGTCCTGTTCATTGGGGAGGTCAAACATGTCAAACTTAAACCTGGTCACGGAGTTTCGCGTCACGAGGATCTGTGTGCGAGCATCCACAGCACACCTGGGAATAAAATCAGAATTTACCCAATGTCATCTTAAACAACTGACAGGGGGAATCAAAACAACCTACAGATTTCTTATAATTACTGGATTCATGTTTTCGTACTTCATTAAAGTACGTAAATGTCCAGATATGGCTTTACATGGTATAATTTGGACCATTATATGTGTCTGGTACAAACGATGAGTGGTGGTTAAATGTAAGTCTATTCCATATCAACTATGACTATCCATCTGTGCCAAATTGGACATTCCTGGTACGACTTGGCGCCCAGTAAAATCTGCTTGTTGTGCGAACTATTTACGTGGATCGGAATCATTCAGTTGATTACCTATCATCGGCGCCGACGGAACTGGACCACAGTACAAACTGCTTGTTAGAGTTAGTTACAGGCAACATTTGAAAAAGTAATATTACGGAAGGTGGAAGTACATAAGAATACGTAATCGTGTATATACAATGTGTTCGGAAGTTGGAGATCAATTTTCCAATTGTAGAAAGACAGTGGAAGATGGCGGTAATAGACGTGTAAAGAAGGACACATAACAAAATCCTTTCCTTCAGATTCTGTCATCTCACTCACCCATCTGCGATGAGAGGATAAGATGCTTGTTTCCCCGGAACACTGTCAAGGTGGGCGTCACATGATCGTAACACCATTATTGTATTGGAAGTCCCTGTCGAGGCAACTTGAACATACACAGGTGCTCCAAGCTCAGCCTGAATCAGATTGCCGTTTGAAAGGTGCATAAATGATGCGTCTTGGTACAGGGATATATGGACGCTGGAACCTTGCACCTGTCCAGCTGTTGAGCCGTGGACAGTTGTGTTGAAGTTTGGGTAAATGTGAACGGAGTCCGTCCCATCCACTGGTTCGAGCAGCTGACATCATGAATCCAGATGACATCTCGAACCAAATGATCAGTTACTGGTTGTACATACATCAACGTGTTCTTAAAGGTAACCATGCTTTTGGAGACCTGAATAATATAGAAATAAGGGAAATATGATTATCGTTCCATTTTCGAATGCATGCTTAAATGATGAACCATCAGAGGACTTGGGTTTCATTTTACAAAGCAATGCTAACGGTATGAGTGTCGAAACTTATCGCCAGTTATGACTATGAAACAGGGCTCTATGACATGTGTTTTGTCAAACGAGAGACGAAGAAGGAAACATGACTCAACAATGAAGAGGAATTGCGACAATACACATTTGAATGGTGACACATCAGAATACCTAGGTCTCATTTTACCAACACTACGACTGCCAAATCCCAATAGCTTAACACACACGTATAAATATCTTTTGTCGCAATTCTATGATTTCCCCAACATACTAAAATTCAATTCGTTGTTATCATCCAAAAATGAAGACATTTCCTTGAATACTGCTAAATATCTGTTTTATGCATTCGAAAAAAGGAAATCAATTTTGTCATATTAAGATTGTATATATTATACATGCTTTTATTGTTATCATTTTATTTCATGTCTGCACCGATGAGGTGTTTTTGTACTCATAGGCCCGTGGCCTCATAGTATCAGAAATAAAGATTTGATATTTGATATAGATAAGTGGTGGAGCGGAAGGAAAATATTATAGGTTATTGAGTCTGACTATGTCCAGAGTTCAGCAATGTAACAAGTGTATATGTTGTTAATGTAATAAAGGGAGTGTGATCGTTCAACATTAACTAGAGGACTGCACAAAAGCGAAGGATGTATACAAATGATTCTATGTGTTTGTTTGTTGTTTAACTCAGCTATATATCGATTCTGAAATAGGCAATCCAGTTATCAACAGCATGAACATGGATCTACGCTATTGGGGTACGATAAAGTGTGTCAACTAAGTCAGCGAGCCTGACCACCCGATCCCGTTAGTCGCCTTTTACGACAAGCATGGGCTACTGAAGACCAATTCTAACCCGGATCTTCACGGGTGTATCGAGACATGAACTTCTGATGAATGGAAGCTCGTTTTAATATCTTATGAACATGTAACAAATATCCCATCCCCTGAAAAAGATCTGATATAATGTTGAGTTCCAATTCATCGTTTTCCTGGAATGTCTACTTGACCAGTAGGGTCAGCAGTAAAGCCAAAACACAGGTCACACCACTTCGGACAGTTCCGGCCGAATCCGTCGTAGGGAATACCACATCCGGGCCTGTGAATAATTCAATTAAAGAAACAGTGGTCTTCATCTCTCAATATCTCATCAAATCAGGACTGAGTGAATTGGTTTTCATGTCGCTTTTAGCAATGTTCCAGCAATATCACGGCGGGGGACACCGGAAATGGGCTTCACACATTGTACCCATGTGGGGAATCGAACCCGGGTCTTCAGCGTGAGCCTGACCACCCGACCCCGTTAGTCGCCTCAAAAGATTACGACAAGCATGGGCTCCTGAAAACCATAGGTTCTTCTAACCCGGATCTTAACGTTTGATTCCATGATATACTGAGAGAAACAAATAAAGGATCACAGGAAAATTCAAGCGTTCCTTTAATATTTTCCAGTTTTCATCACCGTTTTGAATAGCACTGTGGCGATGAAAACTGGAAAATAATAAGGAACGCTTGCATTTTCCTGTGATTCTTTATTTATTTCACTCAGTATATATGATATATACTGATGTTCATGTGTATCCTATAATAGGAAGGTTCCTTGGCAACACGGTATCTGTTGGGGCCATTATCGGATATTCCCGATCTAGTTGATCTAGTTGGCTTCTGGGTTAATTATTGGTAAAATAGGTGTATTTATCAAAAATAGCTTTTGACCGAAAATACGAATCTATCAAGGGCGTACATGAGGCCTTTGTAAGTGTAGGTAATTTGAAAACATAAAGTACGAGCCAGTTTTTGAGTGGACAGTAACGGTCGCCTCTCGTGCCCATTTCTGTAGCTGTGTCTGTAGACATCTGCAGTCTTGTGGATCTTATCCAATCTTATTCCAATTCCAGCCTGAAACTATTGGATGTGTAGCATATATTTTACCTCCATTTTGTCTTTGTGTGGACCCTCTAGAGGTATATCTTTATGACCGGCTGCCAGAGTAGATACTTTAGCGGGTTCAGTTGTGAGTAACCCTTCCTGACGTGAGAGCCGAATCATGTCAAGAACCTTTCATTGAGTTTAAAACATTATCAGAACAACTTTCAATCTGGTCTGTATCCTTGAAATGTACAGCAATACAATGACGCGTTTCAGTGTAAATTTCGAATTTACTCCGATAACGGTCAAATTCACATAATGAAAAACATCTGTTCGAAATCGGCGTGTTGGGCCATATTCATAACACGTTGTGAATGGCCATGGAATAATCATTTTCTAAATCCATATATAACCATACAGCTCGGTTCCCAAAAATATGACCCCAAACGGAATACCCTTTTCTGTTCTTTAATGATATATATCAGTGTATATATCGCAATTGTGTCAGCAATTTGCTAAACTGTTCATGACGTTGTTGAGTTTATGGGTTTTTTAAGTTTAATTAAAAATCCCGAAGACAAATGACCTTTTTATTAATCAACAGAATCCGTTTCAAATCTGTGTGACGAACCATCATCGTTTTTGGTTTGCATTACAGATATTAGCCAATTATGTTTGGACTTGAGTGACACTGCTGTTGACACTTGTCGGAGAAGTCCATCTGCTCACAGAATGTCACGTGACAAGTGACGTAGATGCCGTCCTGTTCATTGGGGATGTCAAACATGTCAAACTTAAACCTGGTCACGGAGTTTCTCGTCACGAGGATCTGAGTACGAGCAGCCACGGCACACCTGGAAATATAACAAGAACGTTTCCAAAGCCAGATTGAACAATTGTAAAAACTTCATATTTTCTATGATTTTTCGTATTCACATGTTATGTACACGTATGTTGATGTTTAAAAATAACTTGACCTGCTGCAAGTAACACGAACCGGGAAGTAAATATAAATATAAAGTATAAAGTAAATATACAGTCCAATGACAGCTTGTATTCCGAAGATTACATCCAGTACGGAATAATGTTACAAGAGTGATTTTCCAATTGTGGGATCGCAGAGGAAGGTATTTGAAGTAAAGAAGGACACATAACAAAATCCTTTCCTTCAGATGCAATGTCATCTCACTCACCCATCTGCAATGAGAGGATAAGACGCTTGTTTCCCCGGAACACTGTCAAGGTGGGCGTCACATGATCGTAACGCCATTATTGTATTGGAAGTCCCTGTCGAGGCAACTTGAACATACACAGGTGCTCCAATCTTAGTGTGAATCAGATTGCCCTTCAAAAGGTGCATATATGATGCATCTTGGTACAGGGATATATGGACGCTGGATCCTTGCACCTGTCCAGATGTTGAGCCATGTGCAGTTGTATTTAAATCGGGGTAAAGGTGAACAGAGTCCGTCCCATCCACTGGTTCAGAGCAGCTGACATCATGAACCCAGATGATATCTCGAACCAAATGATCGGTCCATGGTAGTGCATACGCCAATGTATTCTTAAACGTAACCATTCCTTTGGATACCTGAATAATATAGAGATAAAAGACACAAGAAGATCGTTCCATTTTGGAATACATATCTAAATGGTTACACATCAGGGCCTGGGCCGCGTTTCGCTGTCGAAACCCCAATACCTTAACATACACTTACGACCGTTATAGGGATACGACCGCTTTATTAAACGGGTTCCTGGACGTCTGCCGATATGTGTCTTGCAATACGATAGGCGGAAAAGGAGGCGACACTCATCGAAGAGGATTTACCCCAACTGTCAACTACAAATGTTGCGTCGCACGTCGTCGATTTTAGACGACATTACTCCATCACAAACATTCTAATATAAATGTTGCAATAGTGGCCTAATACGTTACGTGAAGATATGTCTAATGTCATGGTTGCATATAAGCTTTCTAATTCTTGCGACAGAAAGACTAACATATATGACAGACGTCCAAATTTAGCGTGCATAAAATTCACTTGAAATGCAACTGCATTTCGAACTTCTTGGTATTACTTGGTTATTAGAAAACTTATTATTCTTGCCATCATCAGTCATCCTTGGGTCATTTCTTGCACACGATTGCATATGGCATGCCAGGCATGCATATGCTTGTTGCCAACTAAGGTTTCTGACAGAAGTGTTTGACGGAGGCGTGTCGCCATATTGGAATATAAGAGGATTGGAATCGACTAAGTTCGAGATGACAAAACTCAAAGCTTGCTAAGGATCGATACTGTAAAAGGTAATATGTCGAATCGTGTGTATCTGTTCAAACTACGAATGGATTTTATGCATGTTCTGATCGAGTCAGCCCGTTTCTATTTCATTTACGCTACGTGCTCAACACGCGTTTTAGACTGGCAACCCATCGCCATCACAACTGGCATTGGGAGGATCATCCTTTTGTCTTTCTCAGACAGTCAGTTACCAACAGAAAAGGGGCAGGGGTATGTTTGTAAGAAGTTCACGGTACAGGTGCCTAAGATTGTGTCACAAGACACAAGTCAATCCCTTCTCACACAACTGGGGCAAGAGTGGCCATGTCTTCGGGACAGCAATACTGCATGAGAGGTCAAATTCCTGAATGCCATACCTCTTTGTTAGTACCATACTCGCTGGTTCCATCAACATGTTTAATGCAGAGACCTGTTTCACTTCGGGCTATATGAAACTGACACGTGGCAATAGCTGGCATCCTGTTAAAAGCGGCGTTAAACCAAACTCCCTCACTCGTACACTATGCCCAGAATTTCAGCACATAAATAATATGAAATGTATTAACTTCGAAAGACGTTTGCTGTTTGGATATTAGTACAATCTTGGTTTAACTGTTGCAATGGTTGATGGAAGTTTAGTCCTTTCTGATGTCTGAAATAGAGGCGCCATCATTTCAGTAATTTCATCTCAGTTACCTGCGTTTAGGTGAAGCTAATATGTATTCTGAAACCTACACTTGTTTGTGTGTGGCAGTCGTTGTAAGACATGTTGAATATGAGCTGCTCTCCCTGCATCGTTCCGACACACGTGTCCTTGGTCATGTAGATGTGGGGGAGGAGACTGATATCGAGGTTCGATTCTATGAAGTCTATGGTAATGAACCAGCCGCTGGGTAGGCATTTAAGAGTGACAGCACCATCCACTGAAAAATGTTTTCGCAAGCTTATAGGCTATAATTGCATCTCACCTTATATATCAGTTCTTTGTCAAACACATGCGCTGAAATATAATATATGATATATGTTTAATGATTCAAAAGTTTCTCTTTCTATTCCTTGATATGTAACCGGCGCTTGACCATTGGCTGGCACTGGCAAACAGTTCAAAATACCGGGATGTTAGTTACAACATCTGGTCTTTCTCAACAACATGACCGGCAATGTTTTCCTCAACATCCTTAGTCTGCAATAAGATCAACCATACCTTCCTAAGTAATCGGACATGTATAGTGACTTACATGTTTCTGCCAGTGACGGAAGACGGTATCCTGCGTTGTAGTTGTATGACTCCCGCTCAAAAGTTTCGTGAAGCCTGACTAGAATTGGCGATGAACTGTTGACAACATATGGTTGTTGAGTGTTTATCTGTAGTTCCCCGACAGTGTAAGGTATCGTTGTGAGGTTAGTCCACTGGATATCATGTCGATGCTGGCCATTTACACGGACATCCATGAATGATGACACCTCAGATACAATAGTAATCATTGGACTCTCTGTGTTCACCCCATCCAAATCTAAGCTCTTTACAATGTAGTTGTTGTCATAAAGAGCCGTTCCTGGCACAAACAACGAGGTGCCTCCGAATTCTTTGATGTAAATGCTCTCGGTACTCATTACTGGTCGAGTGCTCTGTATGATGAAGTTGGCGCTCGATAGGGAACAGTATTGTTTGAACTCGGTGGAATTCAGTGATGTAGACCATGCTATTATATTTCCACTTGTTTCTTCCTTTGTTATATTCACGATTGTATTGTCATACTTTGCCAATACACGAAACGTCATTGCTCCCAGATCACTCGACGCTACTTTGGGAATAATTTGAGTGTTTGAGAATGCGCTCTCTGGGGGAACCTGTCTAACCAGATGTTGACCATAAAGAGTTGCATCACAGGTAGGCGCTGTGAGATACAAAGCACCTGAAAACACTGCGACCTGATGATTAGAACGGATTCGGGTTCCCCCTAAGTCACACATAGAGTTATTAGATAATGCTAAGCCTAACTGAAAAACGTCTCCATAACCCAGTGTGACATTAACATTGTCTCCATCTGTGTATCGGACACCGTTAAATACATATTGACATGTTGCATTAAGGACCACGGAAACGTTAGTGTTGTCCTGAGTAGCCACAACGCCGACATTTGCAGTTTGCTCGACACTGGCAACAAAATAATCCGTTGACAACGTATCATCGGGAAGAACTGTGAAAGAGTCTGATGTCTCCACTCTCGTTTGGAACTTATTGTGTCCATAAAGAGCTATTGCTGTTGTACAGTTCACATAAATGGCCTTTGGTTCTATTCTTGTTCCAGTTGGTAGTTGTGTTGCGTCAGATAAAGCCAGTTTAACTACATCGTTGGCGACAACATTCACACTTGTCTGACGTCTTGTGCCGTCATTGTAGTCCACAGTACAAATACCATCACGGGGGGATGAGAAGTATAGAATGTTTTTAGGGCCATCTATTGGATCATCGATGTATTCCGGAAAGAAAGCGAGAGAAAATGTTCTTCCTTTTGTATCATTGAGAGCTGCAATACAATGCAAATGGACCTAACCTCATCGTAGACTAAAAGGTCATGTGTTAGCGTCAACATATAAGACATCTCAATATTATTTCATCGAATGAATCGCTTATGTGAAATTCATTTGCTGATAAATACACACCGCGTGTCTGCATAGAACTAGGTTTCACAGATATAGGTGTATCTGCATAAATATGGACTTGCTGAAAAGCTAAAACATCGTTGTACTGAACGTTATATTTCTTTATCTGAGTACACGGCAAGCTCCGAAGGAGTGGCACTTACAAGTAGCTTCTTTGTTAACAAGCATGGACATCACGTGCACATCACGTCAAAACATGACGTCTTATTCGGATATGGAAATTTCAAGCTGTTAACTGAGGCTAAACATTTCGTAGTTGATTTGATATTTCTATCATGCGTTCCTTAAATCAACAATTAACAGCAAAGCGTGTTGTGATTCAAACCCTCTCTTGACGAATAAGAATAAGACGTAGTTTCCAAATTCATTGTAGAATGTACAAATATGGATTGTATAATTGTAATGTGTACAATATATGAATTTTTTGTCCAATATCTAAAAAACAATGGTACCCAAACTACATACTTACCTTCGCAAAGTTGATTACATGAATATAAAATGCAAACGAACTTTAGGATATTCATCAAAGCTGCCATGCTGCGTTCGTCCTCAATCACTGTTGAGAACATAGCAAGTGGAAATTTTATCTGAGTCTCATTTAAGCAGAGTACTACCTGACCTCCTGACCTCCCTGAAAATCTCTCTCTCTCTCTCTTCTCTCTTCTCTCTCCTCTCTATCTCCCTCTCTCTCTCTCTCTCTCTCTCTCTCTCTCTCTCTCTCTCCGGGTTAGGTGGTCAGGCTCGGCTTTGACATCGTTGCGCAGATCGACGCTTATACTATTGATCATTGGTCTGTCTGGTCCAGACTCGAATATTTACAGACCGCCGCCATTAAGCTGGAATATTGCTGAGTGCGGTGTAAAACTAAACTCACTCACTTCACTTAGTAAGAGGTGATGGTTATCTCAGTCCGTTTATCTCTTTGTGAACCATCTAGCACGGATATCACGCTGACTATCAAAGAGTCATGATCAGACCGAGTTCAAGATTCAAAGCCACAATGATACGATACTGGTACTTATGAGGGACGTAATTTTGCACAACGAATTTCTGCGGCTAAATCGTTCCCTTTAGCCTAAGCATTAGCAGTTAAGGGAGAAAAACAAATTGTGCTCATACACCTTGCCATTAGGAGGTGAATCAGATAGATGTACACGGTTTTTGCAAGTGAATGGCGAATGGACAAGGTATCGTTGAGACAAGGACCGCCATGTTACAATGAGCCATCATCAGAAGATGGACTAGGAACACCTTGCAAATGTCATAGTGATAACCTTTCACCACTCAGTCCATGTGCCGCTCATTTAAAGGAGAAAACGAGTGAATTGCAATAATTTGCTGGGTGAAAGATAAAGTCATCAGAAGCATATTCCCAAATTTTCAATTAAATATATGTATAATTATGTTTTAATCGCGAAAATAGTTTCGGTAAATATCAGCTTCGGCGTTCCATGAACATTTTAGTTTTATTTGTCTATTTTTCGCAGTTCAATGATGAACAAAACCACTGAAACAACAAATCCACCCAAAGCCTTTGATGGAGACAGGAATGAACCTAATGAATTAGAAAAGGTAAAACAAAGGAACATGAAAGCGTCATGGACAAGATTCCACATCAACTACCGAGATAACAGTTGGAAGACATCTGTCAGTGATCTCCCTATTTGAACATTAGTTCACGCTTTATCAGCCAGAACACCCAGACTATTTCACAGCAGCAAGTTACATCACAACGCACACGGAGGAGTCAAGTTACAAGTCCTTGCCTGTGCAAGCAAGTCACTACCATTCCCAGAGAAATTCAATGTGATCTTGTATCATTGCCACCGCTAAAGCTATTTTCATCTAAATGTGCACCTATATCACAAGTTTCATCTAATCAGCACGAGGTGTGCAGTGTCCCCATCCAAGCAGTGGAGAATATTGATGCTTGTGAGGACACATTTCTGACAAGTGACGAGGAATACATGCCTTCTGAATACTCAGAGTTGGATGAAAGTGAAACTGACGTAGACTGTGATACAGATACTGATAACGAAACTGAACCATTTCTCTACTTGTCAGCAAATCCCCAGACTGAAAAACAGTTTCTTGTCTCTGAAACTGCACTTGCCAAACTATTCCAGTATTGCTCACATCAGCCAGATTCAAGTTCATTTTGTGGCATGACTTGTCAAGTTTGACTGATGCAACATCAAGGCGTCATGATAACTGTGGAGACAGAATGCTTGAAGGAGCACACTACAAGATGGAACAGTCAGTCAATGCATGGGACAATGCCTTGGGGCAATTTTCTATGTACCAGCAGTATTCTTTTGAGTGGGGGATGTGCCACCAAAGTATTGAGAATGTTCAAGTTCATGAAAATGCCAATTTTAAGCATGGGTACTTTCATCAACATACAGCGATGCTATACAGTACCATCTTGTCTACAGTACCATCTTGTCTACAGTGCCATCTTGTCTAAACGTTTGGCATGAACATCAGTCCAGCTTTTGGAGCGTGTTGGTGGGAATCCACTTGTTTTGGGAGGTGATGGGAGATGTGACACACCAGGACATTGTTCGAAGTATGACACATACACCTTGATGGATCTTTGAGAGAGAAGAATGTTGGATATACAGCTTGTCCAGGTGAGTGAGAATAAGTGAGACCCCAAGGCACTGCTGCACATACTATAAAGATTTGTATGAAATGTAGCAATATTGACAACAGATTTTGTGTTCATGCTGCTTGCAGCACCATTCCAACTATATATAACTGCAGCCTATAATAAATCAAATCTGGAGTAGACAATTCAGTGATTGATATGTTCTCATTTTTGTTTTCATTTTATAGCAATAAAGTGAAGAATTCACATCACATGGAACTTGAGGGACTAAAGCCAGGATTGTCATTTCTTGAAAAGAAAGGGTGTTCCATTAAGGACGTCATCACAGTCATGTTTTCATACTTAATAAAAGTACGTAAATGTCCAGATATGGCTTTACATGGTATAATTTGGACCATTAATATGTGTCTGGTACAAACGATGAGTGGTGTTTAAATGTAAGTCTATTCCATATCAACTATCACTATCCATCTATGCCAAATTGGACATTCCTGGTACGACTTGGCGCCCAGTAAAATCTGCTTGTTGTGTGAACTATTTACGTGGATCGGAATCACTCAGTTGATTACCTATCATCGGCGCCGACGGAACTTGACCACAGTACAAACTGCTTGTTAGAGTTAGTTACAGGCAACATTTGAAAAAGTAATATTACGGAAGGTGGAAGTACATAAGAAACGTGCTCGTGTATATACAATGTGTTCGGAAGTTGGAGATCAATTTACCAATTGTAGAAAGACAGTGGAAGATGGCGGTAATAGACGTGTAAAGAAGGACAATTAACAAAATCCTTTCCTTCAGATTCTGTCATCTCACTCACCCATCTGCGATGAGAGGATAAGATGCTCGTTTCCCCGGAACACTGTCAAGGTGGGCGTCACATGATCGTAAAACCATTATTGTATTGGAAGTCCCTGTCGAGGCAACTTGAACATACACAGGTGCTCCAAGCTCAGCCTGATCAATCAGATTGCCGTTTGAAGGATGCATAAATGATGCGTCTTGGTACAGGGATATATGGACGCTGGAACCTTGCACGTGTCCAGCTGTTGAGCCGTGGACAGTTGTGTTGAAGTTTGGGTAAATGTGAAAGGGGTCCGTCCCATCCACTGGTTCGGAGCAGCTGACATCATGAATCCAGATGACATCTCGAACCAAATGATCAGTTACTGGTTGTACATACATCAACGTGTTCTTAAAGGTAACCGTGCTTTTGGAGACCTGAATAATATAGAAATAAGGGAAATATGAACATCGTTCCATTTTCGAATGCATGCTTAAATGATGAACCATCAGAGGACTTGAATTTCATTTTACAAAACAATGCTAACGGTATGAGTGACGAAATTTATCGCCAGTTATGACTATGAAACAGGGCTCTATGACATGTGTTTTGTCAAACGAGAGACGAAGAAGGAAACATGACTCAACAATGAAGAGGAATTGCGACAATACACATTTGAATGGTGACACATCAGAATACCTAGGTCTCATTTTACCAACACTACGACTGCCAAATCCCAATAGCTTAACACACACGTATAAATATCTTTTGTCGCAACTCTATGATTTCCCAAATATTCTAAAATTCAATTCGTTGTTATCATCCAAAAATAAAGACATTTCCTTGAAATAAATAAATAAATATCTGTTTTATGCATTCGAAAAAAGGAAATCAATTTTGTCATATTAAGATTGTATATCTTATACATGCTTTTATTGTTATCATTTTATTTCATGTCTGCACCGATGAGGTGTTTTTTGTACTCAAAGGCCCGTGGCCTCATAGTATCAGAAATAAAGATTTGATATTTGATATAGATAAGTGGTGGAGCGGAAGGGAAAATATTATAGGCTATTGAGTCTGACTATGTCCAGAGTTCAGCAATGTAACAAGTGTATATGTTGTTAATGTAATAAAGGGAGTGTGTTCGTTCAACATTAACTAGAGGACTGTGCACAAAAGGCGAAGGATGTATACACTTGATTTTTTTGTTTTTTAACTCCAGTTAATCCAGTTATCAACAGCATGAACATGGATCTACGCTATTGGGGTACGATAAAGTGTGTCAACTAAGTCAGCGAGCCTGACCACCCGATGCCGTTAGTCGCCTTTTACGACAAGCATGGGCTACTGAAGACCAATTCTAACCCGGATCTTCACGGGTGTATCGAGACATGAACTTCTATGAATGGAAGCTCGTTTTAATATCTTATGAACATGTAACAAATATCCCATCCCCTGAAAAAGATCTGATATAATGTTGAGTTCCAATTCATCGTTTTCCTGGAATGTCTACTTGACCAGTAGGGTCAGCAGTAAAGCCAAAACACAGGTCACACCACTTCGGACAGTTCCGTCCGAATCCGTCGTAGGGAATACCACATCCGGGTCTGTGAATAATTCAAATAAAGAAACAGTGGTCTTCATGTCTCAATATCTCATCAAATCAGGACTGAGTGAATTGGTTTTCATGTCGCTTTTAGCAATGTTCCAGCAATATCACGGCCAGGAACACCGGAAATGGGCTTCACAAATTGTACCCATGTGGGGAATCGAACC